CTGAAGGAAATTGTTAAACAAAGATGATGCAAACTTTAGAAACAGAACTTGAATGTAAATGATAGATAGATAGATAGATAGATAGATAGATAGATGGATGGATGGATGGATGGACGGATGGATAGACAGACAGACAGACAGACAGACAGACAGACAGACAGATAGATAGATAGATAGATAGATAGAGGAAAGAGAAAGGATAGATAGGAACTGGTCCTCTCCCATGCTCCCATGCTTGGAAAGTCCAAATGCCCACCAGAGCCAAATCCCATTGCTGACTGGGGACACCGCTTCCTGTAATGATCAAACAGTCTAATAAAAGAAGAATCTGTCACAGCTGGATGTTTGCTTTGCATCTTTGAAACATCTGCATCTAGAGCTGTTTTATTCATCCAATCATCAATTCAGGAAACGTTTATGAAGTGCATGTTCTTTGCCAGACTACACTCTGCACTGGGGAGTACACAGATGGATAATAATTCCCCTTACTCAGAAGATTCAAAATCCTAGCTGTGTTCAGGGGGGCAGAGGAAATAGCAGACACATGAACTATGAGCCTTGAGGAGGAGATAAGGTACCCATCCTAAATCCGGGTGTGATGGAAGGGAGCCACTGGCCAATATGCAGATGGAATAGAGGAGGCTTAGTGAAGGAATGGCCTGTGAACTGGGCTCTCTAGGCAAGAAGTTCATGAATGAGCAAGGAGCTGTAAAGCATAGTGAACAACGTGACCAAAGGCCTGGGCAGGAAAAAGTGTCTATACCCAGAGAAGGATAAATTGTCTACTTCAACAAGTGGCCTAGCACATGGTAGAGTCCCAAAGAATGTACCAGAAGCATAGTCTAGTGTGTGAGCCCTTGCATTCCCAAGAGGGCTCTACTAGGCACAGTGGAGGTATGTTATGTGTGAGAGTAAAACCCTCTCTCCACCTTCCTAATGCTGCAACCCTTGAGTACAGTTCCTCGTGTTGTGCTGACCCCCAACCACAAAATTATTCTTACTGCTACTTCATAACTAATTTTACTGCTGTTATGAATTGTAATGATAGTTACATTTCCAGTGTTCTTAGGAAACCTTCGTAAAAGGATTGTTTGCCTCCCTTGTGCCCCCCCCCCCCAACCCGGGGTTGTGAACCAAAGGTTGAGAACCATCGCTCTACTGGCTTGTTGAATTTTTCTAATAAGAACTAAAATGTTTCCCTTTATCATAAAAATTCCACAAAATCACCTGGAGTCCTAAAGAAAGCAAAGGGCTAGGTCAGTGGTGCAGACAGTACTTGTCTATCCCATGCAAGGCACTAGAAAGAAAAGTCAAAAGTTAGACATATCGTTGTCTTAATCAAAGCTAAAAGACTCCAGAAAAGCTTTTAGAAAGAAATGTTTAGCTCCATGACAATTAGCAAGTGTTCTGAAGACCACCACATATGGTCTGGCGGTTCATTGTCTAGAACAGACCTGTATTCAGATATAGACTGACAACTCAGAAATTTTAAAAAAAAAAAAAGCAGAACAAGTTTCTAGGGTCATCAAAATATAATTCAAGTATTTTAGGGTGCTGGTCTCCAAATACAGATCTGAGCTAACTCCCGCCAATCAAAGAAGTCACAGGGTGGAAGCTAAGAATTGCATTGCAAAGCACCCCTTCGATGAAGGCCAACACAGGCAGACAGGCTGAGCCCAGGCTCTGTTCTGCAACTCAGGATGACTTGTTGAACATTGCACTGACTGGAAATGAACCAGTTCCAGCATCTGTGTGGTCTCAGTTGTGCAGCTTCATCTTTCTGGGCCTTCTCTTCTTTATCTATCACATGAGACTAACATTTACCTAAGGGGATGTTTACCAAAGGGCATTTATTCCAGCCATAATTTTGGAAAAACACACACACACACACATTTACTATGGGACTCAATAGAATTATATTCATTTTGAATTTTTCAATATAAAATAAAAAGTTGTTCTGGGCCATTTGAAAGTCTCTATGTTTAAAGCCTTCTAAGCAAAGTCTGTAGCCCTTATAATAGCACCCAAGGCTTTGTGGCCTCAAACCATTCACAGTACAAACAAATCATACATGGGTCAACAGAGGCCTCCTTGGGTCCCAGCTTTGGTTCTGCCACACAATAGGGTTATCTAGCAGAGAATGACCTATGAAGTCATGTAAAAAAAAATAAAAATAAAGGAGGAGGAAGAGGAGAAAGAAAAAGGAGGAGGAGGTGGTGGTGGTGGTACTAGGAGCTAGCATACACATCCCAGAGTTTCTCATATAATAGTCTACAGTTGGGCTTGGCTTGGGCATTAGCCCTGTTCAAAAGCTTAGGTTGAGATATTTGCCGAGATCTTGCTCTGGACTCCCCTCCATTTCTCAGTCCTTGTGATTTTCATTGAAAGAAGTAGGAGGAGAGTAGAGTATGATAAAATAGGTAATACTTCTTATAGAGCAGTATAAAGTAGTCTGGGGTAAAGTGGCGCAATGGCCAAAGGGACCGCTGCAGAGAAAACACTATCACAGTGTCAGTGTCGGAGTGGACAACGGCCACAGCTCACTGGATCAAACTATTTTAGGCTGTAGCCCAGCAATATGACTCAGCCAGTAAAGGCACTTATTGTATGTGTGCATATGGGTGTGTTGCCTGCACGTTTGTCTGTGCACCACTTGCATGGGATGACCAAGGAGGCCAAAAGAGGATGTCAGATCCCCTGGGACTGGAATTACAGACAGTTGTGAGCTGCCATGTAGTTACTGGGAATCAAATCCCAGGTCTTCTGGAAGGGCAGCCAGTCTTCTTAACTCCTGAGCCACTTCTCCAGCCCTTGACTTAATTCTTAGAAAAGAAGGCAACAGTCTGAACTTGTTCTTTTTTTTTTAAATTGTTTTTATTGAGCTACATATTTTTCTCTGCTCCCCTCCCTTCCTCTGCCTCTCCCCTTCTACCCTCTCACATGATCCCCATGTTCCCAATTTACTCAGGAGATCTTGTCTTTTTCTACTTCCCATGTAGATTAGACCCATGTATGTCTCTCTTAGGGTCCTCTTTGTTGTCTAGGTTCTCTGGGATTGTGAATTGTAGGCTGATTTTTCTTTGTTTTATGTCTAAAAGCCACTTATGTGTGAGTACTTATAATATTTGTCTTTCTGGGTCTGGGTTACCTCACTCAATATGATGTTTTCTAGATCTATCCATTTGCCTGCAAATTTCAAGATGTCAATATTTTTTCTGCTGTGTAGTACTCCATTGTGTAAATGTACCACATTTCCCTTATCCATTCTTTAGTCGAGGGGCATTTAGATTGTTTCCAGTTTCTGGCTATGACAAATAATGCTGCTATGAACATAGTTGAGCACATGTTCTTAAGGTATGATTGAGCATTCTTGGGGTATATACCCAAAAGTGGTATTGCTGGGACTTGAGGTAAGTTGTTTCCTAATTTTCTAAGAAATCGCCATCCTGATATCCAAAGTGGCTATACCAGTTTGCACTCCCACCAGCAATGGAAGAGTGTTCCCTTTACCCCACATCCTCTCCAGCATAAGTTCTTACCTCTTACTAGATAATAATCTTACAAGGCTTGGGACCCTTGGAACCAGCTTCAGATCATCATCCATCTTTCCTGGCAGGACTCAGGTCATTCCTCTGACTGATGACTAGAATCCTTCAGTTCTTACCCTTGGTTGTATGAGCAGTTAATTGGGGTGGGACTGGGGACGTGTTTCAGCCCAAATATCTTACTGGCTACCTAACAAGACCAATGCCAAGGAGAGTGGAGCCGTTGCTTCAATGCAAGCTCACAGCTTTGGAGCCTAGACTTAATGTCTCAACAAACCCACGGGCAGCAAGTGGACTAGAGACTGTGTCTAAGAAACCGGAAGTTCCGCGAAATGTTTGGAATGAACTGCACCAAGTTGTTAAATCATGGTTTGGTAGATATTAGGTAAGGTTATATTTGGCTGAAGGAACAAATCTCAACATGACAATGGTTTTAAAAAGCCACTTCAGGTAAGGAGACGCAGGCAGGGTTTCTCAGTCGAGAATAAAGCCTATTCTGTATTTTTTACATATCACATGGAAGCCACAGTTTTTATACAGCATGCCCATTCCTGCCAGCATGGAACGGAGAAGGGATGCTAATCTCTCTTTAGATGAGGTCTTTCAAATTGCACACATCCATCTGTTTAAGTCCCATTGGTCATCATTTAGTCCAGTGGCTGTGTCTGTCTTCAAAGAAGTTGCCAAATATAGCCTATACAGAAAAACCACGTACCATTGCCAAAAGCTGAGGGCCCTTAAAAGGGAAGGGACAAATACTTGGAAAAAGCCAACCATCTCTGCCCCAGGAGGCCTCGTTCCTGCCTCATGCAGCCAGATTATAACTATTAAGTTCCATGTAAACAAAATGTTTTACTGCAGTCCCTCTGAAAACCACTGACATGAGGCTATTTTTCTTGCATACCAATTTTCAGTGCCTCTGGCTCCCAGCGCCCTTAGAAATTGCTAGTCCAGAGGAGTTCTTCAGAAAGCCGGCCCCTGAATCTCCTGTGCTCAGTATGATTATGTGAGTGGTCCCACACAGGGGGAGAGGACAGTCCTTTCTACAAATTAATCTTTGGGGCTTGGTTCTGATGGCAGGAGGTCGCTCTTGCTCATCCTGGAAGCTGCGCAGATTATTTTCATTGGCTCATAAATATGTTGAACACTTTATGATACTAACCTCTTAAACCAGTTCTCTTGAATGACTACAAATCACTGTTCAGGGGCAAATTTCTAAGATTCCAGGGCTCCTGAATTCCTGGATGCTCAAGTTAAATACCTGAGGTTATGAGTGGAGAGTTCCAAAAACTATGCTACAAAATACGCTCCAAAGACAAGAAACAAAACCCTTTGGCCCAACTCCTGGTTTGTCTGAAAAAAGAAAAATCAAAAAACAAAACCCTTATTCTTAACTCAACCAGGAATAAGGTGGTGGTCAAATCGTGACCTGGTTGACCTTTTCTGCTTCGCCAGTGTTCCAGAACCTGTGGAGGAGGAGTTCAGAAACGGGATGTTCTCTGCAAACAGCGGATGGCCGATGGTAGCTTCCTGGAGCTTCCAGAGACCTTTTGTTCGGCCTCCAAACCAACCTCCCAGCAAGCCTGCAAGAAAGATGACTGCCCCAGTGAGTGGCTTCTCTCTGACTGGTCAGAGGTAGGTCTGCTCCTCAGGAGAAAAGAGTGCAAGTCATGGAGGGGGAGAGAAATCACCCAAACACCTGCATAGCAAAGAGACCAAAAACTCTCCTAACAGTGCGGCATTTGTAAGCATTTCTACCATAGAATGCATAAGGACTAGGCTATGGGGACCTAGTTTGTTACAGGGACCTGGGCTATGCAGCCAGCCCTCACCTAGCAATTAAAAATCGGAAACCTGCGATTAGAAACGGGATCCCCCTAGAACAAACCCAGGACACAGGGTTCTTCACCTCTTTCTCCACGAAGCCCCATCCTCCCAGCACTCCCACTCCCATGTCCTTCTCCCAGATGTTTCCAGTCTCTGCTCAGGAAGGGCAAGGCCTCCCTAGTTCTTCTCTTCCAAGTTACTGGACAATAAAGGATGTGATTTATTAGGAAAAGAAGGCCAAGGAAATCCTGCCTCTTTACTGTTCGTTTCCTGACTCTAAAACTTGAACAACTTCCCAGCAAGAGAACTTGATTTCCCCCGTTGCCTTGCGCTTGGGAAAATGATGGCTCAGCGTTCACAGCTCCAGATGGTACGTGCAGTGAGGGATCCTAAACTCACACTTCCAACTAACCTGCTTCTCTAAGTCATTCCTGTTCAGATCCTGGCATGAATTCATTTATAGCTGGCTTCGAAGATTCAGCTCAACCGCTTTCAGCCCCTAGAATTTCTCTGCCATTGCCTTTAACAAGCCAGCTCCAAAGACCTGTGTGTCCTCCACAGGGAAGTCTTAAAATCATTGCTGTACAAGCAAATTCAGCCTCTAGCAGAAAGAATGCTACATCCAAACCACATTCAAGGCTTTTCCTTTTCTTGAATAGAAGCATTCTGATTGGCTTTCCTGACCCATGGGCATTTTAGTGCTTATTATGCAACTCAGAGTGTGGAGCTGCTGATGGTTGAAATGTGTCACTGAGATGCTTACTTCGAAAGAAAAGGCAAGCTATGGAAATTGAGATTCCTGACCTCTCAGCATGGGATTCTTGCTTCATACACTATCAGCCTAGAGTCCCTCTGACAGTGCCTGCTAAGGGCATTGATGTTATAAAGGAATCGAAGTTATCATTATGATAATTTACCTCTGGCTGTGTCTCATCCCAGATGTTTCAGAACAGAAAGGAGAATGGTTGCTTTTGTATTTTAGAAAGAATTTGTATTTCAGCAGGATACAAGAATGGAAGGGTGGGGAAAGAATGTGTGCATATTTAAATGTGTGTAAACAGACATGTTAGTTGGTGGTTTTTCCAGAAATCTGTTGATTTGAGCGGCGTTATACATGAAAAATACCATGATAAGAAAACTTACACAGAAGAGAGTCCTGGTGTATGTGCCAAGTGACTGGTAAAGACGCCCTCCTGGTAAAGCATCTACCGAGTGATGGGCTCAGGGTTGGACTGTGGAGGAAGGACTGTAGACGTATAAGAATTGCCACCTCTCCATCCTCCTGACGTTTGTGACCTTTGGAGGATGTAGGACACAAAACATTCAGAAAAAAAAAAGAGCTATTCTGCCTGCAGATTTAAGAGAAGGGCCCTTGGGGTTTAACTACCAAAGGCGTATCACTGAACTGGATCACAGTGAACACAGCAGACTTAGAGAACAAGATATTGTGAGTTAGAGCTTAGATAGCAAGACAAGGAAACCTGGCTCCAAACCCTCAGTTTCATATCAACTGCCAAACAAATGACTCATGGCTTAATCTTCCTAATCCTTAGTTTGATTGTCTGTGAAATGGAGATATCAGTGTTCATCACAGTGGCAGAGTCTTGATTAAATGAAGATCTTGTGCCTAGTTAAATTCAACCCTACCTTCCTGGCTTGTTTTCAGGAGAAAGAAGAAATCAGGTAAACACTCAACCACCTAGAGGGGCTGGGCCAAGGGCCATAGTCTAGGTCTCTTTCAACTTTGCTGGACTCCCTGGGAAGGAAAGGTCATGTCTAGGAAACTAGGAGGTGTTAGCTCTCTTTGAAAGGTCTGAGCCATCCGGATAGATGAGTGGAAATCGCAGACACTGAGGGGAGGCTCGGAACTTCCTGGCTGCCAGCTTCGTTTCAGGGGAATTACGTGGAGAGTGACAAAGTAGGCCACTACACGTCATCATCTGGCTTCTATATGTGCAGTGAACAGATATGAATGTTGCCCAAATACACATTTTTAAAGCTGAAACAAAATGAGAGCTGTGTGGCTGAAGTAAGGCGGGGTGACCGATCTCCAGCTGTATAGGTGTCCCCATGACCTGAGAAGCTGCCCCTGAATCACCTCCTCACCATGGCTACCAGGTGTGGCTTGAGAGACTCAACTCCAGCTTAGCTTCCCCTCTCCAGGGATGTGGAAGTTGATGCTAGGGGTGGTACTAGACTCCTAATGTCATTCATGGCTGACCTGAAGTCTGGCTAGCGGTCTGTTTTTCCACTTGAAAAAAAAAAACGGCCATGTTTTAAAGCCATTGGGCTCTTTGTCCTCTCCCACCTGACCCTTGGATCTGCTACTGTCATTTCCTGCTGAACAGATGTCAGATAGAATCTGGATTTCGTAGTCATCAGGTAACACAAGCAGGGGGCTGATCTCAACCTGCTCGTTGAGATGGCCCTCGACATCTTGAATTTCTTTTGGGGTGACAGACGTCACACTCTGTCTCGCAGACCAGTGTCATTTCAACATGCTCCCATATAAAACTTCAAAGTAGAAGACGGCTCTCTGTTTCTTCACTGTCCTTTTTCCAGTGGCACGCTGCCACGACCCGGGTTCATGCCGTCATCCTCTCAAGCCAGGCTGTGGTGGCCCCTCCATTGGGTCCCGCTTCCCCTCCCCTCTGCTCTGCACAGTGTTGCCAGATTCACCTTCTCAAACACCTCTTTCATCAAATCACTCCCCACTTCATGGCTTCCCATTGCTCTGTGGACCAATTCCAAACCTGTCTGAAAATGAAAAGTCTTCAAATTCAGGCCCAAAGTTCCTCTTATGCGCCTGACCGCACTCACTTCAGCCCCTCGTCAGTAAAACTGACTTGGTTTTGCCTCAAGCCTGCAATGGACCTGTGCACCAAATTCTACTTGGTTCTAGGAATCTCTGTTTTCCATGCTTTCAGCCTGCTGTGTTTATTCCTCCCAAACTCCCCCCATCGTCGAGGCACAGGTCAGGAAACCTCTAGTAACTATTAGCTTTAATTTTACAGTGGCTCAGAACCTGCCTTCCACTGTTAAACTTCTACTAAATTCCTCAACTGCTGTTTCTTCTATAAACAACATTATTGACATATAATTGGTCTTTTATAAAATTCAATTTAGGCTATTGTTCTTAAGGTTTGTCTATGTTATAGCACTTATAAGGACCATGTTTCTTTGTATGATTGGATGATATTCATTAGTATAGCTAGCCTATACTTAGTTTATCCATTCAACAGTTAGTAGGCGGTAAGTTTTTCTAAACTTCTTGGTTATCAGAAGTAGTCTGATGTTGTTAAATAACATCAGTGCAGTTGTGAACGTTTGCACCCAAGTCTTTGTGTGGATGTATGCTTTCGTTTCTCTGAAACAGATATGTACGAGACAAATTACTGGGTCTTGTAGTACATTTTGTTTCTATCAAAACTCTTAAACTCTTTTGCCTGGGAGAAGATTCCAGGGATCATTTCATTTTACATGCCCACCAGCAATGTATGGGGAGCAGGGCTCTCAGTGTTCCACCCCCTCGCCAACACTTACTGTTGTTTTTCTTTCTGATACAGTCATTCCAAAGTTTGTGATACGATATCTCATTGTCCTTTTCATTTGCATTTCCCTAAAGTCTTACTTCCTTTGAGAAATGCATTTGACTTGCCTCTTCATTTAAGTGACCGCTCCTGGAGGCAAGGCACTTCACCTGCACAAAGCAAATTCGAAACAGTTATCTAATGGGAGACATCATTTACTGGGTTAGCATTGTCTTTTCTTGTAATCTCTCATTTAATTCAGAGACTTGGAAAACAGTGCAGAGAGCTGCAGTAACTTTCCAGCTTCTGAAATACTGGGCTAAGATTAGAACATGGAACTCTGTATTTCTGTGACCCTAAGGCCTGAGCCATCTGTAACTAGGAATGGGTAAAATGCTCATAGGAACCCTTAGAATATGGGGTGGGGGGCAACGTGTGGCTGCAAGACAGAGATTGTACATTGTTGTGAAGATTTCTTTCAGGGGCTGAGACTTTTCCTGGCATAGTGAATTTAAGGGACCACACAGAACAAGCGTTAGACTCCAGTTCACAGGACTTGCATTCATTTATCCTTTCTTCCTTTACCAGTGCTCTGTGAGCTGTGGGGAGGGCACCCAGACTCGGAGCGCCATTTGCCGGAGGGTGCTGAAAACCGGGGTCTCCACTGTTGTCAATTCCACCCTGTGCCCTCCCCTGCCCTTCTCTTCCTCCATCAGACCCTGCATGCTGGCAACCTGTGCAAGTGAGTATGTCAGAGCTCTGGGCATGGGGCTGTGGCACCCCATATAACCGCAGCCACAGCCACCAGGCAAGGACCTTCCCTGAGCCCTGGAGGAGTGAGGCATTGTGGGGCAGCAGAGCCGAGGACCCCTGTGGCTGGAGCGCCCAGCTGGAGATGGAAAGGGAATCTAATTCACTCAGGTGTCCAGCCTGAGTTCTCTTCTCTCCTGGAAAAGCAGCTGGCAAGGGGAGAGCAAAGGTCCCCTTGCTGGCATACTGAGATCTGGGAACTGAAGGCTGCTCGTTCCTAATGAAGTCTAATGTTATCCAGTCTGGGGTTTTAAACTGCTCTAAACACACTTATTCTGTGTGATATTAATCCCTGGGGTTTTAACACTTCTGGGGTCCCCTCTTGGTGTACATTAGGGCACTGGTTCTTTGCATGGCCCTGAAGGTAGACATTTAGCAGAGAAATGGGATCCTCTTGGTCCTCTGCCTCTCTTTATGATGCGAATTTCTTCTTTAAATGCTTTTAATGAGAACTGTCTTTCCCTGGGCTCCCTCAGTTTCTGTGCTTGTGGCTGCTCCACACCACACCTCATCAGCAGGTTTTGAAGGTGGGATAGCCTAATGATCCCCAGCTGGTAGTCAACTCCTTCCTGGTTAACAGGAGGTAGTAAATGGCAACCCTGGCCGAAATCAACAGAAGAGGTCTTCCCCTTTGTCTCTTGCCCTCTCTTGTGGTCCTATCTCACTCTGTTTTTTCCCTATTCTTTGTTCTTTCTCCTTCGGTTTGGCATCCCTGTCCAACCAGGGCCTGGAAGGCCTTCCACGAAGCACAGCCCTCACATTGCCGCTGCCCGAAATATATACATCCAGACCCGCAGGCAGAGGAAACTGCACTTTGTGGTGGGAGGATTCGCTTACCTGCTTCCCAAGACTACCGTGGTGCTCCGGTGTCCCACACGCAGGTTCCGCAAGCCCCTCATCACCTGGGAGAAGGACGGCCAGCACAGCATCAGCTCCGCTCACGTCACTGTGGCCCCTTTTGGCTACCTGAAGATCCATCGCCTCAAGCCTTCAGACGCAGGCATCTACACTTGTTCTGCAGGGCCTGCCCGGGAGCAATTTGTAATTAAGCTCATTGGAGGAAACAGCAAACTCGTGGCTAAACCCTTGAGCCTTTGGAGTGAGGAGGAGGAGGCCCTGCAGGTGAGGAAGCTCAATCCAAAGGAGGCCTTGCAAACCCACAAACACCAAAATGGCATCTTCCCCAATGGCAGCAAGGCTGAGAAGCGCGGCCTCTCGGCAGACCCTGGGAACCGCTATGACGACATTGTGTCTAGGCTGCTGGAGCAGGGTGGCTGGCCGGGAGAGCTCCTGGGCTCCTGGGAGGTGCAGGACTCCGCAGAAAGGAACGCATCCTCTGAGGAGGATCCCAATACTGAACAAGCCCTCTTGCATCTCCCCTTCACCATGGTGGCTGAGCAGAAGCGCCTAGATGACATCCTCAGAAACCTGTCCCAGCAGCCCGAGGAGCTGCGAGACCTCTACAGCAAGCACCTGGTAGCCCAGCTGGCCCAGGACATCTTCCGCAGCCACCTGGAGAATCAAGACATGCTTCACAAGCCCTCAGAGCAGAGGTTTCCTCCCGTGGCCGTCCCACCTCATAAACACGTCTCTAGCTTCAGCAGCTCCCTACGGAGCTCGTCTGCGGAGGCCGGGGGCAGCTCCCGCAGGCCTCACCGCAAGCCCACCATCTTGAGAAAGATCTCAGCGGCGCAGCAGCTCTCAGCCTCCGAGGTGGTCACCCACCTGGGGCAGACTGTGGCTCTAGCCAGCGGGACCCTGAGTGTGCTTCTGCACTGTGAGGCCGTAGGCAACCCAAGGCCTACCATCCACTGGACCAGGAACGGAGAAGCGGTTCAGTTCAGTGACAGGTGAGCCTCATAGAATCCTGATCTAAGAGGAAGGGTTGGAAAGAGAAAACGGGCAACGTGCAGGAAATCACCCCCTAGCTTTACCTTTATGTTTCTGGTAGATAGTATTCGAGAAAAATAAAGTGTGTAATGTCTCCAAACACTATAGCACCATCTTTATAATTGATTAGCACTGTTTCCCCAGCCCCTAAGGACCCCAAACACCACCGAGGTGCCCTAGGAAATGTTTTGAATATTGGGTATTGGATTTCAAGCCACAACATTATTGTGTTTCTGCCTCATGGGCTGAGCCATTGAAAAGCTTAGATGGACATGAGGAATATCTCTACATTTGTTTAGCTTCTCGGGGCTGGCCAAAGGGCAGCTAGCTAGCACCGGCTACTCCCTAGGCAATCGTATCCTCTGACGAGGCTGAACCAGGCTATTTGTTCTAGGAAGTTTTATTCTCCGTTATACCTGTGATTATGCATCCTAATGTCTCATGGTGCTTCTGTCTGGGGTGTGTTATTGTTGGGATGACAGCGTGTATTATTATTGGGCTCCTGGGACCAGAGCCATTCATAAAACTAAAATCAACAGTGGTGGTAGAAACAACAACAATCCTGCTTTTAGCACTGCCTGTGTAACAAGAACAATGCTGCATTTTCAAAGTGTCACGGCTCTAGGGTAGCGTGGAGTACTGACAATTTGTCAGGCCACCTCCAAGGTCACTGTAACCTCTTTCACTCACGTATAAATGACCACAGAAGCTCAAAGTCCAATTGTTGGCAAGGCCAGGGGAAAGCCTTGGGCATAGTGACTTCAGTATGGCCTGCACGCGTCAGTTTTGAGTGCTCCACAAATCGGGGTTCAGTGGTCACATGAATTTGAAAAGTGCTCTGTTAAAGCTAAACAGATGTGTTTACTGCTGCACTATATGTCTGATTTTTAATATGGCACTTGATATTTTTATTATCAAAATAATAAAATGGCTGTAAAGCAATTGTGATGATAATCAAATCTATAAAGTAAAGAGCGCAGCTTTCCCTCATTGCCAGTTGCACTCCCCGGAGACGACCACTCATAACAATTTGCTATACATCCTTTTAGAGATTTTGTGTGTTTTATTGCATTATATAAAGCCATCTACACACTTAGGATTTGGGTTTTAATGGGATGTTAGTCGTGCTCAGAACCTCTGACTGGGTTTTTACTCCATGTGTTTATAACGGTGTGTAGAGATCCGTGCTGCGGTGCCCTTTTAACAGCTGATTACTGCTCCTGAAAGCACTGAACTATTCCCCAACTGGAAATTATTTGGGGGCTTTCACTTTTCTTAACTCATTTAAGGATCCCAATGTGTGTTCTCACTTTCCAAGAGGACAGTGTTGTGTGCAATGCTTTCAGAATACTCTTTTGATCATACACACACACACACACACACACACACACAAAGGGCGGAGGCTTAATGTGTTCAGAAACACCAGTAATTCCTGAACTAGCACTTGGGAAATGCTACCATGTCCTTTTAATTCATCTTACCAGGGCTGAGCTTCTAATTCCAGTAGGCTTAAGATGGAGATGGTTTATTAGAAGAGGCTAATAAGTAACTAGGTGCTCAGGCTACTAAAGCTGAACAAATCTAAGCCAAAAGAGAGCAGGACTTGACTGTCAGTCACTCAGGACAGTGTTTGAAAGGCATGATAGCATGAAGAGGAATGAATGTGCCAGAGGCTGTGGATAAACAGGGTATTTTTTAATTTGTTTTTTAGATGTATCGGTGTTTGCCTGCATGTATATATATATATATATACATACACACACACACATATATATATACATACACACACACACATATATATATACATACACACACACACACACATACACACACACACACACACATATATGTACACTTCATGCAGTGTTTGCCACCATGAAGGTTTTCTTCCCTAGATCTAGCCTTGAAAATGCTTTGCAGTATAAACTAATTGCATGCCTTCGAGAACCAAACCTGAGGCTCTGAGGCTCTGTTTCTGATGTTTGGCTTTACAATGTTTGCAATTTGCTGGCCAGTAACAAATATGGCTGCAACTTGGTTTTCTGTTGGGTTTTCCAAATTCTAGTTGAGAAAGGAGAATCAATGTATCTGCTCCGAGCCTGTGTGAGTCATGAGACTGCCATGGGGGCCACTTTGCTGTGGACTACTGGGGACCCCTTCGATGCTGAGTGTCACTGTTTGTCTTCCTTACTTTATTGTCATGGTTCAGAAATGTTCATTCACCTTCAGACAGAGACGTGCTGAAATGTCCGGTGTTAGAGTTAGCTCGGTCAGTCTGTTTTCGCTTAGCGTCCAAATCCTCCTCCTTAGGAGTCTGCAAGATCCAGCTGCCTGTTGGGCTGTAGGACTTTCCAATTTATTAAAATGTATAATAAATATCCTAGACTATCAAGAATAGGTCAAGGCAGAAAGAGAGCCAAAACTTGACATGAGAGAAATTAGTTTTACCAAAGAATGAATAAAAAATTCAGATACTATTGACCCATGTTACATGTAAAATTTACTCTATGAAGTAAATCCACATGATCCTCAGAATCACATGTCAGCTTCTCAGGCAGTAGTTTCCAGCGTGTCTTGAGTATATTGTCACAGACTGGTTCACTGTACCCCCTATTTTCTTCTCCCTTTATTCTACCAGGCCTACCACAGCAGATCTTGTGCTAGATCTTGAGGACGGTGGAAAAGCAGACTCATTCCTATTGATGGAACTCAGTCTGTTAGGAAGCCAAAGGGATGAAGGCGGTATTGGTCATAAGAACAGAGCATATATCCAACTGCTCCTATAGATCAACCCACTGGGGATATAGGGCTGAATGAAACAGGAGTACATGGTTCTTGCAGATGATTTGCATCTAGAGTTCTATTCCAATAACACAGGTCAGAGGGACAATAGGATAGATAAAAGGGACAATAACACATATCAGAGGGACAGTAACACATATCAGAGGGACAGTAACACATATCATGGGGACAGTAACACATATCAGAGGGACAATAACACATATCAGAGGGACAATAACA